CTCCGTATTCATTTCCCGGTGGCACAGCTAGAGTCATACATCATAATGCGGCTCGCACTGCTGAGGTTTGGATGGATGAATATAAAGACATATTTTATGGCATGGTGCCTGGTAGGTATTACTATGTTCTCTAAAGGTTGTTGGAATTTTAGCTAGGTCACCTTCTTAATGATCTAGATGGTCTGGTTATGAGCTTCGAAATCTCTTTACTCAAATTGACAATTACAAAATCATCGTTTAATTTTTCTCAATCATATTGTTTTTTTTTTTTTTTTTTATAGACAACTCTTATTTCCTTTTCGTTTTTTTTTTGTCCGCATCTACTTCAACTTTAAGGAAGTTATTTTTGAAATATATTTGATTTTTGTCAGTTTATCATTTATCACTTTTAGCTGCCAAAAATGTCGATGTTGGCGACTTAACAGAAAGAAAAATTTTGCGCGAAAATTTACAGTGTAAAAGCTTTCGGTGGTATTTGGAGACGATTTATCCAGAATCACCAATTCCAATCGATTTTTTTAGTTTAGGACAGGTACTTTTCCTTGTGGATCTTTTTTACTTTTTACTTTGATGAATATTTCTTATCTGCTTGAACTAGTTTTGTCGATTTTGCATAATTGTTCAGTTACTCAATGCTTTCACTTTACATTCATATTAACTTCGGTAATGCTATTTTCTAGTAAGAACTGGTTGAAGGGACATGTTCTTCTACTATATCGCTTATCTATCATTATTACTAACATATATATTGTTATTCTTTTGGAACATTATAAAACATAGAGAGAATTTGTTGTAGGTCCAAAATATGGGAGTAATGGAATGTCTGGATACAGCAGGTCGATCAGCCAGTGATTCTCCTGCAATGCTTCCGTGCCATGGCAAAGGTGGTAATCAGGTTTGCGAAAATTCATTTGGAAGACAATGAATAAATGTTTTTTTTTTACTTAATTCATGCTTGTTGTTTCTTAAACATGTTAGTAATCATGTTTCAAATGGTGGGTTCATATGTTAGATCCTAATAATTAATTATGTTCATTTCAATACAAAGTGTGCCGTAAATTTCGTGAGGTCGAATCTGAATTCATAAGATGTTTTTTTTTTTTTTTAAATCATGATTCTTAACTGTCATTTGAGAAGTAGTTAACATTCGTTACAAAATTAACGTAAATGTCAAAGAAATAGGAATCGTATTTTGATAGTTTTTGCGAACATAATAAAGTTGTAGTTTTTGACACTGGAAAAGCTAGTTATATTAACCTAATTATAATTTGTAGTTATGGACTTACACTGGGAAAGGTGAAATTCGCTCTGATGAACTTTGCTTAGCTTTCACAACAAAAGGTGTTAGCATGGAGAAATGTACTGGCTCGGTGCCATTGTCGAAAATGATCTTTGACTATGAGAAGAAAGTAAGTAAAAAAGTAATTCATAGGGTATTTAGTTTGTAAATTTTTGGCGAATTAACGTCAAACGTCATTGTGTAATAATTCTTAAAATTGTTAGTAACTATTTTAACCAATGTAAAAATTATCACAAATAGGTTTTTTAGAGGAATTTGCTATTGTTTCATTATTTACTTTGAGATGTTTTCACACCAGGATTATTAAGAAAAATTTCAGACACTTGTGCTAAAGCATCGGGAAACAGGCCTGTGTTTACAAGCAAATGAATCAGGATTACAATTAAGCACGTGTTTACATATGGATATGATTCAGAAATGGAGGTTAGGAGGATATAGGATACTGGATTGATTGTACAGCAACAGCAGTAATTGAAACGGCTATACAATGTTTCTCCCCACTTACTAAATTACGGAATGTTTGAAAAATATTTTCTTGGTTTTGCTTTACAACAAAGACAATGATTTCTAATTTGTGAATAATATTCTATTGTTTTTATTTTCTGTAGCTTTATTTTTTCTTAATTTTAATAAGTGTTGCTAAAACAAGTTATTCAATTATTTAGTAATGATACTTGATCATTGTTTCCATTTTATCCAAAATTCAATTTTCAAAAAAATTGGTTGTGAGCATAGCTGTTACTTACTTGTTTTTTTTTTTTTTCTTTTATATTTATTGTGCAATAGTGACTTATCAATTTTTATTTATTTATTTATATATTTTGTTATAGAAACGAACACTTTCAATAGTTATGCTTATAGCGAAGTGTGAAACTGTTGTGATTTAGTCTGGCAGATAAGCATGTTGGATACTTTGGGATTATGTTTCTTAGAAAACAACATTTTATATCATATTCTCAAAGAAAGTTTGAGCTTTTTATAGAAGCAGTTTATACGATATGAATTATCCAATACTGCTGTAAGCCGCTAGTATCGTAAGGCTAATGCAGCAATAACAATACCATAAAAGCTTTACATTTTGATATAATCAAATGCAAAAATGACGAATGAAAGTTGAAAAATCTCCTAACATAATTTCATTTTAGATGTTGTTACAGATGTTTAATTATGAGAATTTGATAATTGTTTTAATATTTTAAACGATTGCTAAATGGATTCTTTCAATGAAATATATTCGAATGATGGTTGTGGTGTTTTTTTTTTTTTTTTGTTTTATTTCTAAATTTGTTGATTGATTGTGCTGTATTCATTCAAAGATGGTAATTAGCTATTGAATCCGTTGATATTGTGATATTTTTATTCACTTCTTTGGTTTTTTTTTTTCAAGTCACTTTTTCCTTATTCATATCATATTCATTCGAATTTATGTTGATTAAATGCTTGTAGAGTGTAATTATCCTTCTTAGAGGCAAAATAGATTTCCTCACATTTTTTGCATTAATTTTCCTTTTGTATTTTAGAAATTTTTTGAGATTTTTTGGTATTAGAACTTAAACGAATTCCAACTTTCTTAAAGACAAATTAACAATCAAGAACATTTGGCACTGATAGATAAACATGAATTTAAAATGAAATTAAAATTTCTAATGAAAACGAAGTCCGTCCAAACAATTTGTTGTCTGTACATGAGAAATTATTGCAATGAAATAAGTGATAATCAGATCATCGTCTGATAACTTTCCCTTGTATTTTTCTGACTGGTCTCTTTTTCCTTTCTCACAATAATTGTTTTTGTTGTTTAATTCAAGTTCTTTTTTCTTTTCTGAAACACTATCATATGTTTGGATGATCCTGATATAAGTAGTCGGTTTTTAATTTTTACACTCTTAGACGCAGGTTGCCGGTTGCCTAAATTAAATTCAGCATTGTTTGCATAAAAATGCGTATGTGTTAATTGGCCGATAATATGCTTTGTCAACTGATTGCTGCTTCCATTGCTGGTCGTATTTTTTGCATTAATGAAGAACGAATATTCAAGAAATGAATAAATCCGAAAGCAGCTAACCTTTCAAGAAGCCATCGTGTCGAGTTTAGCCTTCGTATGAACCGTTGCTTGCAGTTGCTCACTTTCTTTCCTTCCTGTGTAAATTCAAAAAAGTACTGAGACTGTCAGATTTATGAAGGAATTTGGTATTGAGTGAATTAATATTAGCTAACTGAAATCAAAAACTGGAAGTCAGAAATTGCGGAACTTGAAGAGGTTGTTTTGGTAATTAATGCATTCGATAATTCATTAGTAAGAATTATTTGTGAGAATATTTCGAGATAAAAATTTCATTCAATTTCTTGTGGAATTCTGGTAATTTGTAAGAGGAATATTGTGCTCTAGAATTCAACTTGGTTATCGCGGATATGCTGCATGAATGATCAGCGTTTTGCCGTGGTTAGTCATTTACAGCTGACCAGTTGGTCACTTGCTGCAAATTGTGCTTTTTTCGCTTGAAATTCAACCAGAAATCACATGTTTAATTCCATAAGCTCAGGCAAGATTGTGAAACTCAGAATAAGCTAAATTTTCCTTCATAGCCTAAAGTTTTATCAGCAGTCGATGATTTAGAAAAATAATTGGATCCAGAAGCTTGATTCTTTCCGGTTCAAATTATTCATTCAGTGATAAAAGTTCCTTTAAAGGCTTTAGGTGCAAACCAATTGTTCAGAATCGTTGAATTATAGAAAGAGAAAAGGAATGATAAGTTAAATTTTAAAAAAGTATAAAAAGTAGGAGAAGAGCTGAGATTCAAATTATGAATTTGGAAACTATACAAAAGAGCGAAATTGAAACTAAAATTACAGCACTGAGCAGATTTGCTTATTGCTGAGATGATGGCGGATGCAGCATATCTCGCTGTTGCTTTTGAATTGAGAATACGGTAGAAAAGAAATTCGGCAATTCAATCAGCAGTTTTCGATGATTATAATTAATTATTTCGTTTTCAGCTCCAATTCAATAAATTTTTCAAAAAATATCTAACTTTCAGGGATGGAGAAGATAAGAGTTCCCCTGCACCACCTCCAACATTCGTTATTTTTTTTATTCCGACATACCGAATATATGTATTGCAAACGAGTGATTAAGTGGCAGCAACTTCATTTGTAAAAAGATCAATGTAATACAATCAATAAATACAAGTATAAGGTAATAAAGTAGTGAAAAACAATTATATTTTCTTTCGAGATCCTTTACCGACATGTTGAATATGTATTGCAAATGATGAGTTATTAAGCGGCAGTAAATATAAGTATAAATAAAGTCAATAAATACAAGTATAAATAAAGTAGTGCAACAGTGGAAAAATATAGTACAGTTCCCGATTGTACACGTGAAAAAAAAAATAAACAACAAACAATAAATGGTAGTGAATTATGTGCAAATTTTGCGCACATATCTAGAAACAATAAAAAATACAATCAAGATCATATATAAACATTGATAAGTTCAAGTAATGCTGCCACTTTTATAGATGAAAAAAAAAAGAAACAAAGAAAGAAAGAAAGGAATTGAGAGACTGTTGAAAAAAGTATTATGTTTTATAAATCGAATATTCATCCCTACTGTATAAAAATTGATTTGTTGACTGACTGACTGTAGCATTAAAAATTGAGATTCAATAGAAAAAAGTTAATCACAAATATCAGCGACTTATGTTTGATGAGGCGGATATTCATCATTGTTGCGTAAAACATAACTTCTTGACTGACCGTACCATTCATTCCAAACAGACCAGATTGACATCTAAGAACAACAAAGTTCAAAGGAAAGAACAAAGTCCATAGAAAACAGAAGTGAAGTTTACGTAAGGTCATCATAACGAACAAGAGAAAATCCTCACCTGTTCATGAGTTCGTGGGAATGAAGAATATGCAGTTGCTTGTGCAACAGATGGATAAACAACTGGTTGTTGACCATAAAACATACCAGAGCTATATTGTCTATTTACAGTGGACCGATCCTGCTACAATATATATACATATTTAATGTATAAATTTCCTTCGTTTGAAAAAAAAAAAAAAAAAAACAATGAAATTAATTGTTTCTGTAATGTCACATTCATTTCAAAGATTAAATTGCTAAATATATGAATTAAATTGATAAATATATAAAATAAAAATTATAAAATATATGAAAAAATAAAAGTATGACGAAGTAATAGTTGAGAATTGAAATTTCAGGCAATATAAGCATATTTATTTAGAGTAGATGAAAAACATACCGGCATTTGATAATAACCAGACATCGGAATACCGTATCCACTTGGTTGTCCAATGTTTCCACTTGCACCGTATATCGTTCCTGCTTGATTATATAGCGTCGTCTGGAAAATGGAAATGAATGGAAAATATTATAATACAAATATAATATGTTGTAATTTTTCAACACTACTACACGTAATATAGACTTAGCAATAAAAATATGGCATGGCGAGAACTCTAGTAATGCACAAAATAACAATAACTACCAAAAAAGAAAAAATTACAATAGCTTACAATAGTTACCTGTGTAACTGATGTTGTTAATAAGCTGGCATCGAATAATAATTATATCCACTCATCGCCGCACTTCCTCCAATTGAACCACTCATTGTTGCTGCTGCTGCTGCTGCCATTGGCGTAGTCTAAAATATTTCACGTACGAGATCCATCAGGTAAGAGGTAAAACAGAATGTAAGGTGACTTTTCCACAACCTTAGTAATGCATGAAATAATAATAGCTAGCAAGACTTACCTGTGTTGTATAATAAGCTGGCATCGAATAATAATTATATCCACTCATCGCCGCATTTCCTCCAATTGAACCACTCATTGTTGCTGCTGCTGCTGCTGCCATTGGCGTAGTCTAAAATATTTCACGTACGAGATCCATCAGGTAAGAGGTAAAACAGAATGTAAGGTGACTTTTCCACAACCTTAGTAATGCATGAAATAATAATAGCAAACAAGACTTACCTGTGTAACTGATGTTGTATAATAAACTGGCATCGAATAATAATTATATCCACTCATCGTCGCATTTCCTCCAATTGAACCACTCGTTGTTGCTGCTGGCGTAGTCTAAAATATTTCACGTACGAGATCCATCAGGCAAGAGGTAAGAACAAAATGTAAGGTGACTTTTCCACAACCTTAGTAATGCATGAAATAATAATAGCTCGCAGGATTACCTGTGTAACTGATGTTGTATAATAAGCTGGCATCGAATAATAATTATATCCACTCATCACCGCATTTCCTCCAATTGAATCACTCGCTGTTGCTGCTGGCATAGTCTAAAATATTTCACGTACGAGATCCATCAGGTAAGAGGTAAAACAGAATGTAAGGTGACTTTTCCACAACCTTAGTAATGCATGAAATAATAATAGCAAGCAAGACTTACCTGTGTAACTGATGTTGTATAATAAACTGGCATCGAATAATAATTATATCCACTCATCGTCGCATTTCCTCCAATTGAACCACTCGTTGTTGTTGCTGCTGCTGCATTGTAGTCTAAAATATTTCACGTACGAGATCCATCAGGTAAGAGGTAAAACAAAATGTAAGGTGACTTTTCCACAACCTTAGTAATGCATGAAATAATAATAGCTAGCAAGACTTACCTGTGTAACTGATGTTGTATAATAAACTGGCATCGAATAATAATTATATCCACTCATCACCGCATTTCCTCCAATTGAATCACTCGCTGTTGCTGCTGGCATAGTCTAAAATATTTCACGTACGAGATCCATCAGGTAAGAGGTAAAACAAAATGTAAGGTGACTTTTCCACAACCTTAGTAATGCATGAAATAATAATAGCTAGCAAGACTTACCTGTGTTTATAATAAGCTGGCATCGAATAATAATTATATCCACTCATCGCCGCATTTCCTCCAATTGAACCACTCGTTGTTGCTGCTGCTGCTGCCATTGGCGTAGTCTAAATTTCACGTACGAGACCTATCAGGTAAGAGGTAAAACAGAATGTAAGGTGACTTTTCCACAACCTTAGTAATGCATGAAATAATAATAGCTAGCAAGACTTACCTGTGTTGTATAATAAGCTGGCATCGAATAATAATTATATCCACTCATCGCCGCATTTCCTCCAATTGAACCACTCGTTGTTGCTGCTGCTGCTGCTGCCATTGGCGTAGTCTAAATTTCACGTACGAGATCCATCAGGTAAGAGGTAAAACAGAATGTAAGGTGACTTTTCCACAACCTTAGTAATGCATGAAATAATAATAGCTAGCAAGACTTACCTGTGTAGCTGATGTTATAATAAGCTGGCATCGAATAATAATTATATCCACTCATCACCGCATTTCCTCCAATTGAACCACTCGTTGTTGCTGCTGGCATAGTCTAAAATATTTCACGTACGAGATCCATCAGGTAAGAGGTAAAACAGAATGTAAGGTGACTTTTCCACAACCTTAGTAATGCATGAAATAATAATAGCTAGCAAAACTTACCTGTGTAACTGATGTTGTATAATAAGCTGGCATCGAATAATAATTATATCCACTCATCGCCGCATTTCCTCCAATTGAACCACTCGTTGTTGCTGCTGCTGCTGCTGCCATTGGCGTAGTCTAAAATATTTCACGTACGAGATCCATCAGGTAAGAGGTAAAACAAAATGTAAGGTGACTTTTCCACAACCTTAGTAATGCATGAAATAATAATAGCAAGCAAGACTTACCTGTGTAACTGATGTTGTATAATAAACTGGCATCGAATAATAATTATATCCACTCATCACCGCATTTCCTCCAATTGAATCACTCGCTGTTGCTGCTGGCATAGTCTAAAATATTTCACGTACGAGATCCATCAGGTAAGAGGTAAAACAAAATGTAAGGTGACTTTTCCACAACCTTAGTAATGCATGAAATAATAATAGCTAGCAAGACTTACCTGTGTTGTATAATAAGCTGGCATCGAATAATAATTATATCCACTCATCACCGCATTTCCTCCAATTGAATCACTCGCTGTTGCTGCTGCTGGCATTGGCGTAGTCTAAATTTCACGTACGAGACCATCAGGTAAGAGGTAAAACAGAATGTAAGGTGACTTTTCCACAACCTTAGTAATGCATGAAATAATAATAGCAAGCAAGACTTACCTGTGTTGTATAATAAGCTGGCATCGAATAATAATTATATCCACTCATCGCCGCATTTCCTCCAATTGAATCACTCGTTGTTGCTGCTGCTGCTGCCATTGGCGTAGTCTAAATTTCACGTACGAGCATCAGGTAAGAGGTAAAACAGAATGGGTGACTTTTCCACAACCTTAGTAATGCATGAAATAATAATAGCAAGCAAGACTTACCTGTGTAACTGATGTTGTATAATAAACTGGCATCGAATAATAATTATATCCACTCATCACCGCATTTCCTCCAATTGAATCACTCGCTGTTGCTGCTGGCATAGTCTAAAATATTTCACGTACGAGATCCATCAGGTAAGAGGTAAAACAAAATGTAAGGTGACTTTTCCACAACCTTAGTAATGCATGAAATAATAATAGCTAGCAAGACTTACCTGTGTTGTATAATAAGCTGGCATCGAATAATAATTATATCCACTCATCGCCGCAATTGAACCACTCGTTGTTGCTGCTGCTGCTGCCATTGGCGTAGACGTTATCAGGTAAGAGGTAAAACTAAGGTGACTTTTCCACAACCTTAGTAATGCATGAAATAATAATAGCTAGCAAGACTTACCTGTGTTGTATATAAGCTGGCATCGAATAATAATTATATCCACTCATCGCCGCATTTCCTCCAATTGAATCACTCGTTGTTGCTGCTGCTGCTGCATTGGCGTAGTCTAAATTTCACGTACGAGATCCATCAGGTAAGAGGTAAAACAGAATGTAAGGTGACTTTTCCACAACCTTAGTAATGCATGAAATAATAATAGCTAGCAAAACTTACCTGTGTAGCTGATGTTGTATAATAAGCTGTCATCGAATAATAATTATAACCACTCATCACCGCATTTCCTCCAATTGAACCACTCGTTGTTGCTGCTGGCATAGTCTAAAATATTTCACGTACGAGATCCATCAGTTAAGAGGTAAAACAGAATGTAAGGTGACTTTTCCACAACCTTAGTAATGCATGAAATAATAATAGCTAGCAAAACTTACCTGTGTAACTGATGTTGTATAATAAGCTGGCATCGAATAATAATTATATCCACTCATCGCCGCATTTCCTCCAATTGAACCACTCGTTGTTGCTGCTGCTGCTGCTGCCATTGGCGTAGTCTAAAATATTTCATGTACGAGATCCATCAGGTAAGAGGTAAAACAGAATGTAAGGTGACTTTTCCACAACCTTAGTAATGCATGAAATAATAATAGCAAGCAAGACTTACCTGTGTAACTGATGTTGTATAATAAGCTGGCATCGAATAATAATTATATCCACTCATCGCCGCATTTCCTCCAATTGAACCACTCGTTGTTGCTGCTGCTGCTGCTGCCATTGGCGTAGTCTAAAATATTTCATGTATGAGATCCATCAGGTAAGAGGTAAAACAGAATGTAAGGTGACTTTTCCACAACCTTAGTAATGCATGAAATAATAATAGCTAGCAATACTTACCTGTGTGACAGAAATTAAGTTTTCAATTAATGAAGTATGAGTAACTAATTATTTAGCTTAAAACAATATAAAATGTTTACCTGAATAGCTAAGGTAATTTGATCGATTGAAGTGAAACTTTGACGATGCGATGAATTTACGATAGGTGCGGATAAAATCGGTAGTGGTGCATCGCTAGTTCGAATTCCATTCAGTATTGGACAAAACAGATTATTAATTAAATTGTGTGGTACAAATGGCGGTGCATCCAAATTCCAAATGAATTCTTCCCTGAAACTCTTTTATTGTTAATATGTTAATAATTATTGATTGTAAATGTTAAATTGATCATCCTTCATTTGCAGCAAATAATTTGCAAGGAACAAATTATAATATATTCTTGCCTGATTAATGCATTATTTGCTGCTACACTTGCTACTATCTGATCCAGCGCAGATGATTGCTCCGTTTGTTCACTTTCAAATGCTACGGAAGCGGTAGTTGTAGTTTGTGTAATTCCTGATTGTGATAAAACTACAGCTGTTGCTGCTTCTGTTTCGGATAATATCGTGTTCGATTCAGCAGGAGTGGATGTTGTCAACGTATCATCATCATTATCATTCTCTGATCTATCCGGAGACGTTGAATCTAAAGAAATGAATATTACGTTTCAATATGATTTTCACTGGAACACAACCGTTAATAATTGATTTACTAATTATTGATACCTGCTGATTCGCGACTCACTTCCTCAGCAGTTTGTGTATTGCTTAATATTATAGTCATTTCATTTTCCACGTCAATATTCCTCAGCGACATCCAAAAGTCTTCTAAATAAGTTAATGGTGTTTTTATTGCTATTTCAGATGACTGTCAAACGATTCGTTATAAATTTATTTAATCAAAAGCAAGAGAAAATAAAATTGTAAATTGCAAAAAAATCATTCATTACTATTATAAATAAAAAATACCTAATGGTTTAAAATTAAATACTTCGGCAACCGCTCTTTCTAATCGATCATCCAACCATGGTATCCAGGATTCTGAATCAGCTAGTGGTACTTCTGCGTTTTGCTCAGTATCTTCCTTAGAAAACCCTGAAAATTTATTATTTAATCATAAACAATCTTTCATGTAAGGAAAAAGTTGTAAATAAAAACTTTACAACAAACAAACCTGGAGAGTCCTTGTGATTCCTTTGAGCCAATAAAAGCCCACGTTCATAACCAATTGGTTTAGGTAACTTTTTAAGTTTAGATGATATTTCCGTTTCTTGCATTTCAACCATTTTGAAATTTCCTATTTCTTCCATGGCTTATCTATCTAAATAATATATTTACAGTTTTCATTGTTTTTATTTAAATATAAAACAGCACTTTCATTTCCCGAAGAAATTACAACATATACTCTTGCAAATAAAGATTTCAAAAATGTCGGCAATGGGGTTAAGGGTGAACTAATTATTTAAATTACTATACTAATTAAAGGTCAAGAAAAAAAACTAATATTTAATTTTGAAGAATTCAGTTTTTTACTGCTTCATATGAAATATATGCAAGACAAAAGAGTGAAAATACAAAAATGCGTAGTTGAAATATTTGCTTCGAAATAAGGATGGAATGAATGCATTAAGTATGAAATGATATGACGTATTGTCGAACATTGCAAAGGATACTTTAGTCATCTAATCGTTAATTAAGCATTATCCCTGTTTGACCTTTACAGTGATGGAGGAGTATATGTGATGGTCGTTGAGAAATTACTAATTGTGAATATGCAGATGAAAAACTTAATTTGACAATGGAAAATATACGAAAGAAAGTGATAGATTTAGTTCTTATCTACACTAAATAAATTCACCAGGGTGCAAGAAAATGAACCAAAAAAAAGCAATTCGATGAGTTAATTGAAATAAACGGAAGTGTGAATAGAATTAATAGAATTGTTACACAATTGTCACAATTATCATTAAAAGAATCCATCCTAATACTTACTGATGATAAGAAATTATTTATTGAAAGGAAAAGTGTGCAAATAATAGAATAGGTATGATCCTTTTTGAAGCATTGTAATGAGAAATATGTGAAAATAAAAATTCCTACATCATTCTCACATTTGCAGGAAGGAAGATAATCCGAGGCATCTAATTATGCTTCTATAAAAGATATACTTTACAAACAATAATCCAAATATTAGCCAATCGTAGCTTTTGAGAAAGAATTTTCTCATTCAAAATTGTTAATTGACAATTAAAATTGACTAGAAAATGAAATATAGTAAATTTCTGGAAATTTCTTTCAGTTTCATTTCCCTACCGTATGCCATACCTATTCATAGGGCAGATTTGATTGGCTGAAGGAAGTTAGAAATAGAAATTTTAATTTTTCATCCGGCAAAACCTCATCATCCTTACACAGCAGTTTTACTTCAACCTTTAAACGAAAGAATTGTAGAATGCGACCATACCTATAAATAAGAGAACAAAATCGAACCGATAGGTATTTTGAACACGAGATCCCGCCCACTTGAGATAGTCGTGAGAGAAAAAAAACCTTAACCGCAAACAATTTTCAAATGAGATGTGCAATATAAATCCCATTTTTAAATTATTTCATAAAACAAATATATTGTTGAGTTAAAAATGAACATGGAAATGCTGTATGAATTCAAATTCAGTCTAAAAACTAAAAATAAAATTAAAATAATCAAAATAATTTTGAATCTGAAATCTAAATTTTGAAAATAAAGTTAAAATTAAAAAAAGGAAAATAAAATAATCTTATTGTCAATTTTGCATTAGAAAACATTATGGATTTCTATTGAATTTCAGGAGAATGTAAAAGAAATACAATTTGTCCTTTTCATTCCTACTGATATTTTGCTTTGAGACCTTTAACCCCAAGAAATGTAAAAGCTTTTTAAATTTTTATGAGTTCAAAGTGAATTGTAGTGCGATTTTAATAAGATCGGTGTTACAAAAGTATAGATAAAATATATGTGATGAGCAAATAAAAATATTATGCTGATTTGCAAGAATTAATTTGAAATTAATTTAATCACCAAATATGCACTTCGCAATAATAAAACTTCGACAAAGTGAATGGAACATTATGTTCAAAACTTATTCAGTTTTTTATTAAATATCAATTTTAATTAACTCAGCAGTTTTCGATGATTATAATTAATTATTTCGTAGTCAGCTCCAATTCAATTAATTTTTCAAAAATATCTAACTTTCAGGATGGAGAAGATCATAGAGTTCCCTGCACCACCTCCAACATAGAGTTTTTTTTATTCCGACATACCGAATATATGTATTGCAAACGAGTGATTAAGTGGCAGCAACTTCATTTGTAAAAGATCAATGTAATACAATCAATAAATACAAGTATAAGGTAATAAAGTAGTGAAA